GATGATGCTGACCGATGCCCCTGAGTCAATGAAGAATTTCCTGCCGGAGATGCAGTCGGTGATATGCAGCAGTGGGACTCCTGAAGTGACGGAGTTTGTGGCGTCTACTAATCCCCGTCAATGCTGTTTCCCAAGTAGATGCAGGGAGCCTCACAACGTCTAGCTTTAGCACCGAAGCGAAGGAAATAGATCAACAAATTACAGTTTTTGAGGAGAGGTTCCCCTAACTCCTGCCATATATATATATATATATATATATATATATATATATATATATATATATATATATATATATATATATATATATATATATATATATATATATATATATATATATATATAAATATATATATATATTTATTTATTTATTTATTTATTTTATTTTATTTTATTTTTTATTTTTTTTTTAGAGGGAACAGTCCACCCGGGCAGAGGTCATCGACCCACAACAGGGCCTAGGGGGCAAAAAAATAAGAGTAAAAGGAAAATAAAAATAGAAAAAAAAAGATTATATTAATCTACACCACGAAGATGCCAGAAAACCAGCCTTTTAAAGTGAGACAGATTGTATGAATATGGAAACACCGAAGAAGGCAGAGCATTCCACTGTTTGGCTGTATGAGGAAAGAAGGATGTACTATAGCGGGTTATTCTAGTGTGATCAACAGCCACAGAGAAACTGTGGGCACCGCGGGTAAGACGAGTGTTACGAGCCCACGGCCTCACCGGCGGTACACAGAATGCCAAATCCACCGTGAAGAGTGAAGCAACATTGCTGCGAAGAGAAGGACAAGAAAGATTATCAACTAAAGGAGGAAAGTTAAAAACACGAAGTGTCTTTGATTCCACCCTATCTAACAGTTGGACAGAAGAAGAGCCACCCCAGATATGACAGCAGTACTCCAAGTTAGGACGAATGAATCCCTTATAAACTTGAAGCAACTGCTCAGGAGTGAAGTAGCTACGGCATTCTCAGCTTTCGATAGGCAACTTTTGCAATGTTGTTGATGTGTGGCTTCCATGATATATTAGAGGAATGATTGCGTCCTGAAATGTGATTGGTGGGAGATCATCTAATTTGGAAAGTGTAATTGGCTACATACTGAGTTTTATTACTATTGAATTTAACAAAGTTTCTACCTCCCCATTCGGAGATGCTGCACAGATCCGCATTGATAGATGAAATGATATCAGCTCTAGAAACAGATCAGGTTTGAGAATTAGGAGCAAGGGCAAAATGTGAAGAAGATTGAAGAGTAGAATCATCAACATAAGGATGGATAGAATTAGTCATAGTGTGAAGTAAATCATTGATAAAAAGAAGGAAGAGAGTACAGTAGGTGAAAGAACAGAACCCTGTGGGACACCACTATTGGTAGAGAAAGAGAAAGAGCGAGAGGTCGATCCCTCGACAACAACTGCCATGGGGAACGACAATATAATAATAATAATAATAGTAATAATAATAATTAAAAATATAATAATAATAATAATAATAGTAATAATAATAATAATAATAATAATAATAATAATAATAATAATAATAATAATAATAATAATAATAATAATAATAATAATAATAATAATAATAATAATAATAATAATAATAATAATAATAATAATAATAATAATAATAATAATAATAATAATAATAATAATAATAATAATATTAATTATAATAAAAAATAAAAATAATAATAATAAATAAATATATAAATACAAAAATGAAAAAAATATCAAACGTGAGAAACGATAAACAGTATGTATTTTGTGTTGTCAAAGTAAGAGAAACAATTGATACCCTGCAATTGTGTGTAAATGAGGCAGAAAGTCAGATCAGCAACCTGGGACTTGGTCACATTTTTTTTGATGCCATATGGCAGCAGGGTCTACCAACAGACAATACATTATACTTCCAATATCTTCCCATGCGGTAGCACCTCCCTGTTTGATAGATGCCTGTAGTAATATTGTGTCAATTAAAGTATCAAAAAGGCAGGATTAATACATTTAAAAAGTAAGATAGTTCACAATATCTTTATATCCCAATTTAAGCTCTTAGGCTTAAAAGCTAATGCGGTGTAAAGTCTGATTCCTTTTGATGATGATGTAATTATCTTACGCATAAAAAGGTAGTTTCCATTTAGGATGCAAAATGACAGGTAGTATTCCAATCATGACTAAGGCCTTTAAAATCTGAGGCAAGTTACTACGAAAAAAAAAATCATTGATAAAAACTGACATGAACCGATACAACACTTTAAGTGACCTGAAAATTCATACGATTTCAAATACTTAATTGTGCTGAAACTTACCGAACACCATCTTAACGCACAGTCAATATGCGTGAATATTAGAACAACAGCTAAAACTTGGCGAGGAAGTATATCTTTAGAATATAGCCTGCTTGAGGCGTGACCATTTATAAGTTTATACTATAAGGCCATCTTGGCTCATTAGTCATTTTACCCTAAGGCCATCTTGGTTCATGAGTCATTATACTATAAGGCCATCTTGGTTCATGAGTCATTATACTATAAGGCCATCTTGGTTCATGAGTCATTATACAATAAGGTTATCTTGGTTCATGAGTCATGTCTTTTTTGGGGGTATGGTTTCCATGCTTGTTCGAAGAGATTAGGAGTACGAGAGACTTATAAAGTTGAAGGAATGTTTTCTTTTCTCTATATTCGAAAGAATGATTTATGCTTCAAAGATTCTGGTTGGCTTTCTTCTCTGCTGCCCCATTTGTTACTCTGCTATCACTACGCCTAGGTCTTTTATCTTTATATACAGTTTCTAAGAAATTGTTACTCACAGAGTAGTCGTGTTTCAGGTTATTGTGCTCACCTACAGAATCTTACGTTTTGCTGTGTTAAATAAAGCATTTGCCAGTCGTGAGATCATTTCAAAATTTCATGCAAATATTTTAGTGAGTTAATTAGTTTAATGACACAAATATTAAAATGCAAGAATAATACAAGAATGCATAAAATTACACCTACAGTTTCCAACGAAATTACTGATAATTCAGCAAAATACAAGGTACAATAATATTAAATATTAAACAATTATTCAAAACCTTTTACAGCATCCTGTGTACAATTATACAAGTTATAGATCATATCACAGTTATTCATAATCTTTTTTTTTTTTTTTTTTTTTTTTACGGGAATTAGCCCACCCGGGCACAGGTCACTGACCCACATCGGGGCCTGGGGGACGAAAATGTAATAATAATAATAATGAAATTAAAAAATGAGAAAAAAGATCAAAAGTGAGAAACAATATATGTATGTTGTGTTGTCAATAGTAAGTGAAATAATTGAGACCCTGCAATTGTGTGTAAATGAGGCAGAAAGTCAGATCAGAAACTTGGGACTTGCTCACAATTTTCGTGATGCCATATGGCAGCAGGGTCTACCATTAGACAAAACATTATGCTTCCATTATCTTCCCAGGCGGTAGTACCTTCCTGTTTGAGAGCTGCCTATTAACTACTACCGTTGAAGTTAACGTATTGTTGCTATAAGTAGCACAGAGCATTAACAATTAAAAAAAAAATCAATTACCACAAAATCATTTGATGCTTAACCGTAGAATTTCAAAACATCATGAACATAATTATTTACAAATATCTAAAAGAAATCATTAACACAGGTACCCACGTCGGAATGGGGTTAACATTGAGCAATCTATTAATACATGTTTCTCATTCTGTACATTGACATTATCATAGTGACACGTCCTTTTCTCTCTGGCCATTCTACGCCACCTTCCTGTCTCTACTTGAAGGTTGTGGGACAAGAGCCTCATCCGAGTAAAAGCCAAGCGGGTGTAATCTGGGATGTATACTTTCTGATCATATATGCCGTGTACTGTACAGCGAGAGTTGGGTTAAGTTCTGACCGGTAAGTTATATATTTAGTTGCAGTTTCTGGCTTATTTCTG